AAAAAATGTAATTTTGATTCAAAAACACCCATAGAAAAGTGTTAAACGTTGTTTGGTGTGTAAAAAATGATTTTGCAAAATCGGAGTTAAAAAAAGGGCATGAATGAGTATTTTCTTTAACAATAATGACATAAATAAGCCAAACTTTTATCGAATGACATAAATAAGCCCTTTTTAATAGTTTGATGACATAGTTGAGTCTTTTCCCTTTAATAAATAATAAATAGTACGGGTATTATTATTATATTATTATTCTTTGTTTTATTAAATTTAATGCGTTGAGAAATGTGTTAGTTGATAAATAGTAGCAAAGATAAAATAGACATAATAGGTAAGTTATCTCTTAATTTTCTAAATTGAACAAATATTATTAGATAACTATTTTTAATATAATGAACATCTGTTGTTGAACATACGAAGACATTATAAATATAGATTTCACATCATTATGTAAATTAGCAGTTTTTTTTCCTAATTTAAACAAAATAATTTTATTTGTTTAATATTTGAATTCGGCCAAAACAAATCTTTTATACTCAAAATCTTCATGTATATATCCAAATTACTTTTAAAAAATTTCTTAATAAGACAATGGCAAAACTAATTATTACTTCATCTTCATTTATGTATCCAAATTATTTTTAAAATAATTCATAATTAAGTAAGCAAGTATTCATGCTGACGAATATAATTCAAATAACTTAGTTATAATCTTTAACCATACATTCAATCAAGGAAGTAAGTTAGGAATATTAATTAAACTCTCATTTTATATCATCAATTTTTATCTAATTAACTATATATGGTAGGTTGATATTATTATTATTAATGGTGCTTAACACAATCTCTTAATTTAAAATTTGCATAGATTAACATACCATAAAAAACACTCACCATAATTATTTGGCATTATAAATATGATGAATACTTAATTAGCAGTCTGTAAAATTGTCATTAGTTTAATGGCAAGTTGTATTTCTCTCTCAATGGCTTCTTTTGAGTTCATGAGTATAATTATTTGTATTTTGATGTATTTTGCTCTGTCACCAATTTATGCTATGGTTGATTTTAATCAATATTATAATCCCTTGTGGGGTCAAAATCATATAACTTATCTTAATCAAAGTACTGAAGTGCAGTTACTTTTGGATCAATCAGGTATATCACTGACAAATTTTTATATTTATTTAATTTAGAATTTACAATTAGTGACAAGTTTTTATATATGTTTAATTTAGAATTAGTGACACATTTCTATATCGATTCAATTTAGAATTTAAATTCAATGACAATATTTTTAATCTGTTTAATTTAAAAGTTTGAGTCAAATAAATTCGATATAAATTCAACTAGATCTATAAATTGCCATAGAATTACCATATATTTAACGGTCCGTATATCTAATTACTTCTCCATCATAAAAATGTACTTGTTTTTCTTTTACATTACAAGAGATTATGTCATTTCAATGGCATTTTAAAATTATTCTAGTTAAGTCACATTTTTTTGGTAGAATAGTAAGTTATATAATATGAAAAAACTCATTTATTTTACACTAGAATTAAATGTAGCAATTTCAATATTGTTTTTTTTTGTTGTTGATGTCCCTTCTTTCCATATTAGTTAGTTATTTTGCTTTTGTTAAAGTAAGAAATTACAAATAAGGTGGACAATTAATATGTGACAATTATTTTTAGAAAAATAATTAATTAACATGGGACAGAAGAGAAGAAGTATTTATTTAGACATTTATTTACGACTTTTATGAAATGATTAATGATGCAGGAGGAGCTGGATTCAAATCGAAAACACAATATAACTCTGGATTATTTACATTAAGAATAAAGATGTCAGATAAAAAGACCGATGGAATGATCACAGCTTTCTACGTATGTTATTAATTTTTTTTCTTTGATAATGTATAAATGAGTACATATATAATTATAAAAATATTTTTTTAACTTAATTTTTATCACAGTTAATTTCAGATGATCAAGATGCACGGGTTAATCATGATGAAATAGACTTTGAATTTATAGGGACTCAAGGAAAATTACAGACAAATATATTTGCTAATGATATGGGTGGTAGAGAACAAGTTTTTCAACTTCCATTTGATCCTTCTCAGGATTTTCATACTTATCAAATTCTTTATACTCCACAAAGAATAGTGTAAGTAATTATAATTTACTTCTTATGTTTGACATATTTTAGTATCTTAATTAGCTTTATTAATTTACGGTTATTTGTTGACTTTTATAAAAAAAAATGTGTGTTATTTTTTCATATACATACATAGATATAAAAGCCAGCTATTTATCCTAAAATAAGCCTCCACAGATAAGTGGTTCTATAATTATTAAATTCTGAGATAGTACTGATCCATCAATATTTAGATTTTCATTCCTCCTTTCATCTAATATAGTATCTTTCAAATCGATATTCAGTAGATTTGCACACCTACTCAATAAAGTGTTAGACCATTAGACGAACCTCATCCCATACCAATAAAGTAGGAGGGAGAATCTTCTTTTTGTTCCTTTATTTTTATTTTTTTTGTTTGATTGATTCATGTATGTTTTTATTTCATAAAAAAGTTGACAATAAATCGATTCATCTAACCAACAACTTGCGATAGAGATACCTAGTGGAAAGTTGGTCCAATTCTCCTTGAAAAGCAATAAATATTGCATTCTAGTGTTTCTTGAATTCTGTTATTAGAATTTCTGACTGTACAACTGTTTGATTGAAAACCGTACATGTACTAATTTGTGTTTGATTTTTATAGGTTTTTTGTGGACAACATACCAATAAGGACATTTGAGAACAACACAAATAGAGGTATCAACTATCCAACAAAATCACTATGGTCAGAAGCAAGCCTATGGATTTCAGATGCTGTGGGTTGGGCTGGATCTGTTGAATGGGGCTATGCACCATTTATAGTTAGTTTTCAAGACTTCAACATTTCTGGTTGCCCTGCTGGTAGTGATTGCTTGCCATCCACAGATTTTAGCCCATGGACTAGGCACAAATTAGCCTCAAGAAGCTTGAATCTTATGAGGAATTTCAGAAAAAAATATATGACTTATGATTATTGTAGCTCTGAGGAAAATAAAAATAGGTACCCAGAATGTGCTTAATTAGTTTATTTATTATAAATATATATCATATGTATTTCTATTTTTTAGTAGATATAAATGAAAATCCACAAAAAGCATTACTATGCATAATTAACAGAGGTATAACAATAATATTAGATACAAATTGTGTTTTTACTAGAAAATTTGTTGAATATGTTTAAATGCTTAATTGTAATTCAGTAATTAAAATGATCAATGGGTTCGATGATGAATTCAAATCATTTAACTTTAAATCTCTATAGCAAATTAAACTGTATTGATTATATTTTTTAAAAATATTTACTCTGACAATATATTATTTAGTTTTTTTTAATAAATAGATTAATTAATCAATCAAATATGAAAAGAAATTAAAAATACTTGTATTTTTAATTTATATGAGAAGAAAAGGCACCAATTCACTAAATGGAAATTTGCAAATATTTAATGGGTAATAATTAGTATAGATTATTAGTCAACTTGGGTTAGATGGTGGCTCACACAAACATAAATATATATATATTTTTTTCTTTTGGAATATTAATGGTTGAACAAAAAAGTCAAACAGAGATGTTCATGACTCAGCCTTACCAAATTGATCCCCCTTTTTTTTTTTATCTTTAAAATATTTAGATTTAATATGTTAAAAATTTAAAATTTGATTAATTTAAATTCGAGTTAAATAAATTCACTATCCTTAGTAGCCACCTACAATTGTGGCAACGTGTCACTATATAAATTCGATATAATATCATTTCTATATACATATAAATTTCAAAACACTTTAATACAAAAAGAGAAAAAATTAAAATTTTGAGTGTGACATTTTTGTACTTTTTCGAAAATAAGTTTCCTAGTTATTAAAAGATTTACTAATTTTGAATGGTCCAACTTGGTGTGCTATGAACCTGTGCTTTCATTTTCAATTCTCTTTTTCAAATTTATAACGAGTAATCCAAAAAACGAGTAAGTTATACAATTTTATCTGAACTAAAATAATTAGTTGTCACAGTTCGAATTACAAAATTAATACGTGTTTAAATCATATAGTAATATTTTTTTTGTAATTTTCTTTTAATTTGACTACTGACAATTGACTTTTTAGTAGGCAACAGTACAATAACGAGAAAAATATAATTTGAAAATGATTGCATTATGTGTTGAATTATATATTACTCCTACATATTTCTCTATTTTTTTAAATTTATTTATTTATTTTTTTAATGAAAGTTGATTATAAAATGAAAATTGAGTATTCACTAATAAAATAATTTTAACACAACAAACTAAATAAATCAAAAATAAATAAATGAATTTCAGCCTAACTAATTGATACTCCCTCTCACGCAATTTACGTGACTTTCTTTCATTTTCAATCCGTCCCCAAAAATAACATTTTTATATATTAAGTAACAATTTAGTTATAAAATATCTATTATATCCACATAACTTTATATCGTTTATTTTGGATCAAAAATTTTAAAGAAAAAATAAATAAATATATCCCGAACTATCGTAGTTGGTGCGCAGATATCTTTCGTCATACTTTTGAGACATTGGTGCTTCTGTCGTTCAAATCTAGAACATATATATTTTTTATAATAAAGGACAAACACATGTCATAATTTAACCACTTACCCGACATCGAATTGATGAATAAGATTGCATCATGTCCCCATTTAGTCTTTCGTTAAAGTGAAGATCATATACGTTTTAATTTTTGAATGACTGAAACACCAATATCCTTAATAATGACAAAGATAACCCGTATACCATATACAATAATTAAAATATATATTTATAATATATATAAGTAAAAGTTTAACAGTGTTGTTGTAGAGGGAGGTGGAGCTAAGCAAGTGGAGCAAAAAATGGCGGAAAAAACTTACTATAAGTAAAGTGGAATGGGTAAAATTGAAGAGGGAAGAATGAAAGAAGACTTGAAAACATAACAGGGTGTAAGAGGCGAATAGTCAACCAATACGTGCTCAGACACAGTCAATCCTTTGAAAATTCTCATCATTTATATATATAATCTCTTCAACGCTTCTTCCTCTGCACTTTCTTCTTCTTCGTCTTCTCTCTTTTTTCGTTTCTCTTGCAAAAAAAAACAACAAACGTTTTTGCTCGAGGAACTGTTATCTATTTTTTGTTAGCGGAGAACATCAATGGCTGTAAGTTTTCTTCAATCATTACTTTTCCCCCTTTTTTCGTTTATCCAGAATTGCTCTGAGATATGTGGTTTGAGGGTTAATTACTTGAATTTAAGTACGTTTGTGTTTATGAACATGAGTAGCTTTTGCTTAGAGTCTGTATTTATTTTCGTAAATTCAGTACTAATACGAGCTTTGAATTCTGTGAAAAGTTCAGATCTGTAAACTTCAAATATTGAAGTCACAGTAGCTTAATTGGTTGATTATTTAAACTCTCGCTTTATCTGTCTGAAGGCTCATCTCTCTCTTCTTTTTTTTTTAAAAAAAGAAATTGAAATGCTAGTTTCACCTCTGTAAAGTGATTTGGTCTTCTTAGAAATTCAAATGCTAGTAGAAAAGAAATAGTAGAGAATCATTAGTTCAAAAGAAACTAATCATGAAAGAATTAAGAAGATCTTAAACGGGCAACATTAGTGATGATTTATATAGTTGACCGGGAGGTGAGATACTATAAGTATATGGGTTTTCTGTATTTATGTCAAGTTAATATTATGATATTTATGGATTTGTTAATAAATATATAGAGTGGTGAAAAAAGCTTCTAGGTTTATGTGAACTTATAAGTTATAACCAACCCTAATATATTTGGATTGATTTTGGTTTTTGTATTGTTTTGTATATCTGGATCTATTTCAAAGTATTTAGCTCAGATTCAATTATAGATTTCTGAGTATTTTTTCTTTGAAAATGGACTTCTGTGGTACCAAACACACATCCGGTTTGTTGAATTTTCTTTTAATTGCTACTGCAGCGTGCAAATGTGCCAAAGTTTGGAAATTGGGGAAATGAAGACAACACTCCTTATACTGTCGTTTTTGAGAATGCAAGGAAAAACCGTGGCGGGAAGATGATAAATCCGAATGACCCTCAGGAGAATCCGGACATGTTTCCCAATGTTGCTCCTTCCTCCAGGCCTAAAACTCCTCCTACAGAGGAACCAATGGGGATGGAAACAGCTAGGCAAACAAACAAGCGTCGTGTGAGTAAAGAAGATGGTGATTTCCGTGCTAGTTCTCCAGCCCGCAATGAGCCAACTACTCATCAACGTCATGGTGGAGGTCGTGGATCAAATTCTGGTCGACCTTCTAGACAAAGTGGAGGGTCTGATCACAGCATTGCGAAATCACCACTTCACCCCAATTCCCAGGCGAAGATATCTGGACGTGTGGCTGCATCTCCTGTTTGGGAAGGGAAGAATTTATATGACAGTAGTCATGGTACTCCTGGAAGATCATTCGAAAGTTCTCATGCTACTCCTGGAAGGCACCAAATGAAGCAAGAAAGTGTATGTTTCTTCCTATTCTATTTCACATTGCATAATATAGAAGATTAGATATTCAACTTGTGATAGCATGCCTTTATTTTTTGTTCAGTTCATTTTTCATATCATTGAGTTTGAGTCTAGGTTGATATTGAATTTGACGTGACTTGTTCATCTTCTAACAGCCTGATAGAGGAACTGTAGTTCCAAAGTTTGGCGGATGGGATGACAATGATCCTCAGGATGCAGAAAATTACACTGAGGTTTTTAACAAGGTGCGAGAGCAAAGGCACGTAGATACTGGAAATATGCCAGCTGCAGGTGTTAGAACATCTTACAGCACACAAAGGCAACAGCGAAATGAAAAGCAGAAGGTATTGATTCGTGTGACATCCTCATCTAAAAGTATGAAAGAACACACGTTTTAGTTTCTTAATCATATTATGTCTCAATACACGTACTCACATTTTTGCCTTATTCTTTTTCACGGGTCTTATATCACCGTTTTTCTTATCCATTTCTCTGTATTCTGCAGAGCTGCTGCTTTCCTTTGTGGTGAAAATGAGGACCTTGTTTTTCTGGTGATCTGAAGCTATATTGGATGTGTAAATAGATCAACATACTATGGCGCAACGCCAATCGTTTCTATGTTAAGAGGCTTCTTATAGCAATATGTTTGGGCTAGTGATTTCTTGTATTTTTGTTATGCTTTCTGCTGAAATTTGCAATTGTATCGTCTACTTATTGTTTTATTAATCATGTACTGTTTGTTCTTAAATCAAATTGATTTGTGTTACTGGTTTTGTAATGGAACTTGGTTAAATCTCTAGCTTAGCAAAAATGATAACATGTTATAATAAGAAAAATAGTGCAAAATCTACGAGAAAGTACAAGTACAATATATAGTACGATAGTTAAACTGTAGTAAACAACAAACTATGATAAATATCACAAGCAAAAAACTACTATAATATGGTTAGTACAACAACAAACATGACGACATTCCATTACCTACTATCAAAAGCAAAAAACTACTATCCTGAAAAGTTGAGATCAAGCCATGCCATTTTCAGAGAATCAAAGATAACTGCACCTGCAGAATCTGATTCCGTGACTGACCCCTCCATCTTTTTTCATTTTGAATTTCAAAATAAAAATTCCTAGTTTTACTACTATTATAAATTCTACCATTTGGAACAAGGTTTTGGAAGCCTCCAAAAACTATTGTTCACTCTCTTCTTTAATTTCTTATCACCTCCTGTCTTGCGTTTTTGAATCTCTGAAATTATTGTCTTACATATCATTTTCATCTCAAATTTGGTCAATGTTCATGCTCAAACATTTAGATGATTTGATACTACTTACTGTTTCTTTTGAAACAAAAAGATAAGATTCTTAAGTACCCAAAAAGTCCGAGGACCTTTAGTACTGTACTCTACCCCGAACCAGCAGCCTTCACGCCATGTCTCTCAAAGTGCTCCAAGTCGCTCAGCACAATGATCCTATCCCCTTCTTGGTTCGAGTCTCTTCTGCCAAAGCTTTACTTTCCTCATCCTTGATATACTTCACTTGATCCAAGTGGAAGGGCCTTTCACTCTCTCACCTGTACAGTTTCTTTCTTATCTCCATCTTTATCCCTTAAGACGTTATTAGAGCATATATACAGATATATCTTCAATAAACAGTTATTTTGACAACTAACTTTGAGATTTAAAAGGTTATATAAATAGCAAACAAGCAGGAGATACATGTCATAAATTATATGATACAAATAATCTGTTCCCATACTAGCACACTATTTTCCTCATCCTGTTTATTTGCGTAACTAAAACATTAGTACAAATCAATGAAGCCTCATCTCAACCATCTATCCAGAGCTCTAGGAAAAAGAAAGAACGGAAGCAATAAAGACTACAGAAAGACAAGAAAAGAGACAGACACGAAAAGTTGGAAAACAAAGTAACAAAAGGGAGCTCCTCCACCGAGTACTTAGGCTACAATGAACAATAGAACACATTGAATCTTATGTCCTAGCAGACTTCTTTCTCCATTCAGTTCGACACCTATTTATTTCAAGTCCATCGCTTGATAATCTCAACAAATGCAAGAAGCTCTTGTTTACATCCTTTGGAGCAGTAGCAGATCCATTAGACCCGTGACTCTCTAAGGCATCAGCATCCTCAATAGGCTCAACGCTTGTAAGGGAATCGACAACATCATCATGCTGACATTCACGCCTATAATCTATAGTAATTGTTTCCAGTTCATGTGTATCAATGATTTCTTGAGGAATACTCTGCCAGCAGAAAAGTTTTTTGGTTAACAAAATAGAGAATTTAGTCCATAGATGTAAAACATAAGACTTCCCTTGTTTTAGAAGTTACTTCTAAATACTAATGACTTCCCCATGCCTAGTCTAACTATCTATAACAATGAAGAGCAACAAAATTTCTATGAGCAAGACAACAAGGACCCTAAAAAATCTCTGCACATGTTAAATTTACAATGGTAACAGAAGAAAAGAAGTGTCAGTGGGGAGAACATAAAAGATGAATTATTGCATCATATGTATAGTTGGCCACGTCCAATTATTCATCTACAGAGAGGAAACATATACAAACCTCAAGAACCCATCCAATGTAAGTGACATTGTTTACGTGCTGATTCATGTCCAGATCAGCTCTTCGTGGCTGCCAACAAAACGAGTATCCTGAGTGCTTGAAAAAGAATGTCATTGAACTCAGGATTTTAAAATGATACCTACCACCATTCCTAGCTTCGAATACTCAGCGGGATCTTCAAGTTTTGCTATTTTCTTTAGGCTGCCATTATTCTCCTCAGGAAAAGCTAACCTGGAATTGTGAACAGTCAAACAAGAACAGAGTGCCACTTTTCAATAACATTACTGCCAATAAAATACAACACTCAAACTTACATGTGCCGAAATCATGGTCAGTGACATTGCAGATGATATGAAATAGCACGTTACACATAACACAATTGTGGTTGGTGCTGTTATGAAGTATATAAACTTTAAAATATGTTTGGTTGAAGGAGGGGAGGGGTAGTTTTTCTTTTTGCTTCTCCAAAGTGTAGTACTTCTCAGATCCCTAAGTTTCCTCCTTTCAGTCTAATTACAGAATGGTGGCAAATCTCTCAGGAAATCCCTGTACCCTCAAGTTATTTGGGAAACGTAGAAGTTCAAGACTGATTTCGTCCCTTTGTCTAATTTCTCTCTCACTAGCCACCCTCACTCTACTTGATTTAAACATAGTGAGTAAATAGAAGAGGAAGTCAGAATGACTTGGCGTATTACTTCAATGAAATATAAAAATGCAAAATTGACCATTGGAGTTGACTTGATAGAGAAGACACCACATATGATTGCCTGACAGTCTAACTAAAGTGAATATACGTCTGGGAAACAAGCTTGCACCAGAGTAGAAAGAAACTGGATAATAGACAGATTGGTTTAGTTCTTTTTCTAATTCTATTTTCTTTTTGCAAAACCATGTGTATGCGCAGGCACATCCTTTGATTTGGTTTTGAAGAATTGGTTATGCATATGTTGGAAAAATTGTTCTTTAGAAACAACCCTTTGTTTTCCAGAAAAGCAGAACAAATGGTTTCAAGGTCTAATGTAAATTATGATAGTTAGAAGGATAAGTTTCCATTGATGATCCTTTTAATAATGGTATAGGAATCTTTTGAACAAAAAACAAAGATGTTTTTCCCAAATAAAATGTAAATTGGATTAATGTAACGGGCGAAATATTTCCCGTTCCTTGCCAGAAAGATATGTGACCATGAAAGAGGGATTAAGTGGACCAAAGTACACTAAAGCTGGAATGCTCTTTTATCATGCACGTGGATTACTTGGCCAATTACCTTAGGGCTATAGGCCTCGAACCATCTAAGATACAAAAACACGTCAAATACCAAGAAATAGATGTAATAATTAAGAATCTGTAATGTCTATGATTCAAACCATTTATGTTAGATATATGTGTAACTTATGATAGTATTTAACAGCTACATTTTCATTTACCAGCACCAAGAATCATGTACCCATTAACACCATTCAAAACCGTTGTATGATAATTTCAAGAGTTCAATGAACAGTTTCCTTATTTACAGTTATAGTTTACAAGAATACTTTACCCCACTTAGGAAATTATAAGTTCCAGGATAGGGAAGGGAAAGAAAAAAAATGAAAAAGAGGAACCTAAGTTAACCTCAGTTCTTTTGGAAAATAGAGCTCCAGCTCATCACGAACTTCATCAGTGACCTTTTGAAGCCGTCTTGTGTCCTGGTTCATCATGAGCCACTTGCTGCAATCAGATATCATAACATCCTAATTTAATTTTTGTAGAATAACTCGAGAAGCAATATAGGAAAAAGAAAGGATTTACAGATTGTTAGACGGTGGTATCTGTGACCTTGATACTCGAGAAAACCATTAACACTGCCAAATTACAGACTTCTTCACAAAGTAATTATATTGACTCGGGTTGATTTAGAAGCAAAACACCCCATGGATGTAATTTAAGCTTTATGCAGTAACTTACAAAAGGAATTCATTTGTTCCAAAAGCTGCCTTTGCAGGAAATGTATTTAATAACCAAGTGGGCATAAAAACTACTACACCACACTTGTGTAAAAGATAAGCAATTCACAGAAAAATAATATGTATCAACTATGTTAAGTATTTGCAACAAATATACTTAAGCCTGGAATACTGCATGCCTAGAAGTATACATGTCCACTTGGAGATGTGCATTAAACAGGATATTATCACTTCTAGTGCTATCTATATTCTTTCTATGAGGTTTATTATTGAGTATAAACTTAAATTCTGCACCTGGTTGCTCTTCCAATGACTTCACCAGTAGCGCAGTCTTTGAGAATCCAATCGCGTCTAGTCCCAATCCTGCCTTCACTTTGGCACCAAGTCTCTATTTCAACAACATCACTCCTGTTCCATACCACACACAACATTAACCATGGGTACAACAGCCTTGCAGAATAAACCATTATAGTGAACACTTGCAAGGTATAAAAGGATTACCAAGCAGGGTACTTATAGATCTCAATGTACATGCGAGCAGTAACCCATATAAGATGTAATTTTCTCATGCTATGGGTAGTTGCAAATCCATCCGTTGAAAATCCAACACTTTGAGCATGGTTGCATCCAACCTCCTACATCACAGAGTTGGGATACATTTATGCCCATATAATCATACATAAACCAAATGAGTATAGTCCCTCGTTTAAATTTGTTTATCTTATTTTCCTTTTTGGTCCCTTTCAAAAAGAATGACTCTCCTTTTTTGGAGACTCTTTAATTTCACTTTTCTACAAGACCACAACATTCAAAAATCTTATTTACTATAAGAGAGCACTGACATAGCAAGCAAAAAAATTTATACCTCCACCATTCCAGCTCGAAGAGAAGTACCAAAATAAGATGAAGAAAGATATGCATTGACAAATCAAGAACTTATATTCAGGGAAAGAGTTGATTAACACGAAAGAATCAATCTTTTCATAAAGTTGAACCTGCAACAGATTGGCGATACTTTCGAGAAACAGACATGCATTGACAAATCAAGAGTTCATATTCAATGATACAGTTGAGTAACACAAAAAAAACCCAAAGGCGATGATTTCGAGAAATAGACATGCATTGACAAATCAAGAGCTAATATTCAGTAACACAAAAATAAAAACCATAAATCAGACCTGCAAGAGATTGGCGATAGTTTCAACAGTTACAGTTTTGTTAATCCCAAC